CATATGGGTAAAATTAATAAATTAACATGTAAGACCGGTCTGATCCAAATCTGTATGAATAATTATTAATTATCAATTATTAATTATGATATGCAAATTCCCCCCTGATCAGAACCGACCCTGAGTCTTTACATTCAATACATCATCTTTGTTCAATCTTAGAATTTTCATCCATTGCTGAAGAGACACATGTTATACTGCTTTACTGACTGCGATTACTTCCAGTAGATTGTTTCTTTTTCCACACATAGATAAGTAATGTGACGATTATAAGAAGCAGTGCAGCACCGGCCGCTGCAAAACTGAGAATGTAGTTTAGACATATGCCTAAGGAAAAAGCAAAATAGGTTCAGGTAATGATATAGTAATATAAAACTTAAAATCTTTAGCACAACATTCATTTTGTGGTTAAATGACTGAATAGTAATATATCACATAATTAAAAGCTTGTTCTAAGAGCTATTGTTAATATCTAATGGACAATATCATCATACTTTCTTTCATTTTCTTCTAGTGGACCATCAGTAATGTAATACTTATTGTTTCATTCAATTTGGAAAATCCAGCACAGCACTTTCAAACTGAGTCACTTACAATGGAAAATGTTACAAAAATGAACAGTTACCTTGTATGGACACTTTTACACTTCTGATGGTGGTGCCAGCTGAATTGTTTGCAATGCAGTGCAGATCCTCAGGTGTTGATTCTGTTATAGTAAGAGTTTCACTATAAACTATATCAGTTGTGCTGATATTCCATCTGATTAATGGTGTTGGGTTTCCCTCGGCTTCACAAACAATCTCCACTGGATATCCTCGAAACACAGGCACTATGGAGGGCAGTTTGGTCTCATTGATGATCGGTTCAGCTGCAGGAAGGAGTGAAAGAAAAACAGTTTTTGCTGCAAAAATGGTTTTGCATTGCATACATGGTATCATACATTTCTTATGTTAATCTACATTTTAATTTAGTAGTTTTCAGCTAAATTGATCAAATTTTGAAAATTCACAAGAAAAAGTTACACTGTATCTGATCCCCATCCCCACACAACTTGTTGCATATAGAAAGTGCTAAAATATGCTTGATTTGGACAACAGATGTTCTCAAAAGATTAATAAAAGAAAACTGACAGATCTTACTTACAATATACAGTAATGCTGAAAGGATCTGACGGGGCTGTTGGAGGAGGTTGAGGTCCTTCTTCTCCCAGTTCCAGCTTTGCTTCACACCAGTACTGAGCTCCATCATCAGCTCTGTCTGGACGGATCAGGAGTTTAGATGTTTTACTGACTGGAGTCTTGATGGAGTCAGTGAAGATGGTTTGATCCACCAGAGTCTGTCCTTTGTACCAGTTGATAATGAGATTCTGAACAGGAGCCACATTGAGAACGTCACACTGGAGCTCATACTGGTTTCCCTCCATCATTGGTCCGTTGTGATTCACAGTGCTGATGGACACACTGTCTGGAGTCTCTGTGGAGGAAGATTTACACTCTCTGATATCTGCAGTCATCAATGTACAGTAGATATTTCTGAGAATATAAAAGTCTCAATAACAGAGAAACTCACTGTAAACTGTCACTGGGAGAGGTACTATACACTGTACTAAATTATAGTTTATGTAGCAGCTTGGCTCTATGTCCCATTCTGTCAGGTTTGACACTCTCCATGTGATCAGACTGTCTCATTATGTTACTGTGTGAGTGTGGGGCTATTTTGAGCCTTGTTAGTGGTATAAACTAGCGATTTCTTTTTACTTACTCAATGCCCCCATTACTAGCATTATACGCTAAACAGTTTTTAGAGATAAAACTCTTTACATTCGATTATCATGAAAACAAATCTCAGAGAACGATTGACTATGTACCGATGTTTTATTAGACCAAAGGTTCATTGTTCGCCGGAGTTCTCCTTTAAAGGTGGAATACCTAAGATTTTTGCATTAAAATATCCCAAAATCACAAGGCCAGTGTTATGGAATATTGTGAGTTATCATCTTTACTAAATGTATATGTTTCAAACAATGTTTAAATCGCGAGAAAATTGAGATTTTAACCAAGGAAACGGGACGTGTGAGCAGGGGTGAGCTGGGAGTCGCGAGTCAATCGCGTCATATCCGCTTACCTCGGTTTCCGCTCGTACTGCGTGTAGTCCTGGACAAATGCGGTAGTTGTGCGTTAGCGTCTATCAAACGTCAGCTTGTTTCGCGCATTTGTTATGGAATGGAGCACAATTATTCTTTTCATTTATTCTCGGAATGTGAACTGTTGGCTGTAAAGGGGGTCGCACACCGGACGAGAAGCGCCGCGTCACGTTTAGGACAACTCCACAGCATCGCACACCCGACGCGCACTTTCTCATCAGTGTATGGCCAGCAATATTGTTATGTTTAATGACAGAAAATTAAGATAATGTCTGTTCTATGTTATGATTGTACTGTACAATTAAATACAATCGTTGCTGAGTCTGCATTCTGAAAACTTTACCTCAGAGCATCCGTTCACTGAATGAATTGAGAATCTCACCTGAAAAATCTAATAATAACATCAGCAATTGTCATTCAAGCAACTAATTTCTGTAAATCACTGCAAAACTAAATGCATATTGCAGCATAGGGCGATGTCATGAAACTGCACATGGAACATGGACAGAGGTGATCCAAACGCAGGCTTTATTAAAGAGGAGAATCCAGAGACAGGTACAAGGAAACAGGCAGGGGTCAAAACCAGGTAAGCAGTCCAGATCAGCAATCAAACAATGCAGGGATTAGACAAACGGGAAGACCAGATACAGGCAGAGAGTCCAGGAACCGTGAAACTAGGAAATACTAAGAATACTAGGAAATACTAGGAAAACACTCGAAGCAGTCAGACACTATACACAATACTGAGCACCGAACAAAGGGGAAACTCGGGCTTAAGACAGGTGCACTAAACAAGATAATAAAACACAGGTGCATGAAATAAACCATAATCAGTCCAGGGTAAAACATGAATGAAACAATAAACTAGGAAGGAGTGCCCCCCAGAGGCTGAAGCGGGCACTCCAGCCGCAGATCGTCACAGGCGAAGTCAGGATCCATTAGCAACGGTTTGAGACAAAAATAATAAAAATTTTATATTAAACTGTGTAAATGGCGCTCTGTGGCGCAGCAGGATTTTTGAACACGGTCCTGATTGAGGCGTTGCTGGGCGCCACGGACAGACGGCGAATGGCGCCGCTGGTATGTGTACACTTATACTGTAGATAATAATGTGTTCGAATAATTATGTGGTGCGACGCGGCGCTGCAGCTTCTCGTCCGGTGTGCGACCCCCTTAACGTTAATTTTGTGAAACTGTGGTTGAATACTTACACGACATGAAAAGATGTGTCAAATGTACATTAAATTGATTTTTTATTTTTATAAAGTTACCAAGGAGGACCAGCCACGTCAAATCCTTGCAAGAGACCTGCCCCTTCAAACCCTCTCCACCATAGCTTCGTCCAGTGACTCGTACAGTAACATCTGTGATAACTAATTTACTTTTAAACCTGACTTTTCTTGCGCGGTTATTTCAGTTTAATGAAAAACAAGCATGTCATTAAACGCAACGTTTATAGAAATCGAACTTTACCTCATCCATGACAACTAATTTTCGATTCCCGTCTGACTGATTTATCCACGGTGGAGTTGAAAACAACAGTTCCCATCATTCAGCGTTCCTCCACGTCGTCATCAAGCAAAGCCATTGTTGTTGTTTTGAATGTAGCGCCCTCTAGCGGCATCTAAATCTTAGGTATTGCAGCTTTAAGTATAATTTTGTTAAGTATATATCTGAAAAGCATAATGAAAGTAGACTGAAAGCACACTCTCTTATTTTTAGTTTAAAACAAGTATTCTAATAGCACACTTGAATAAACTTATTTTTCGTAAGGGTATTGTTTTATTTAATTTGGAAAATCCAGCACAGCACCTTTAAACGAGTCACTTACAATGGAAAATGTTACAAAAATGAACACAGTTACCTTGTATGGAGACTTTTACACTTCTGATGGTGGTGCCAGCTGAATTGCAGATCCTCAGGTGTTGATTCTGTTATAGTAAGAGTTTCACTATAGACTATATCAGTTGTGCTGAGATTCCATCTGATTATTGGTGTTGGGTTTCCCTCGGCTTCACAAACAATCTCCACTGGATATCCTCGAAACACAGGCACTATGGACGGCAGTTTGGTCTCATTGATGATCGGTCCATCTGCAGGAAGGAGTGAAAGAAAAACAGTTTAAGAGGTTTTCCATTGCATATATGGCATCATAAATTTCTTATGTTAATCTACATTTGAAGAGTTCAGATGCAAAAGCCTCTAAGTGCCATTTGAAATTTTCTTCTAGAATGATCATTTTTATCAAACTTGTATATTTAAGTTCAGTGATTTCACTTAAATTGCAATGATAATTACCTATTAATTGTTATTTAAGTGAAATTACCAAACTTAAATATACAAGTTTGATAAAAATCATCATTAAAGAAGAAAATTTCAAATGGCATTTAGAGGCTTTTGCATCTGAACTCTTCATTTTAATTTAGTAGTTTTCAGCTAAATTGATCAAATTTAGAAAATTGATAAGAAAAAGTTACATTGTATCTAATCCCTATCCCCACACAACTTGTCACACGACTAAAATCTGCTTGATTTGGACAACAGATGATCTCAAAAGATTAATAAACTGACGGATCTTACTTACAAGGTACAGAAATACTGAAAGGATCTGATGTGACTTCAGGAGGAGGTTGAGGTCCTTCTTCTCCCAGTTCCAGCTTTGCTTCACACCAGTACTGAGCTCCATCATCAGCTCTGTCTGGACGGATCAGGAGTTTAGATGTTTTACTGACTGGAGTCTTGATGGTGTCAGTGAAGATGGTTTGATCCACCAGAGTCTGTCCTTTGTACCAGTTGATAATGAGATTCTGAACAGGAGCCACATTGAGAACGTCACACTGGAGCTCATACTGTTTATGTAGCAGATTGGCTCTATGTCCCATTCTGTCAGGTTTGACACTCTCCATGTGATCAGACTGTCTCTCCTCATGGGCACTGCTCCCTCACTGGCTTCCCATCCCATCCCTCTATGCGGGACAGAAGTGCTGCAGTCGGCTGAGACAAAACCACCGAACTCCACAATAACTCTCTGTGGGTTGAGCTGAACTGGACATTCATCAGCATATGAACCTGTTAAACACATTGAGAAGGATGTGATTTGAAACTGATGAAGATTCAGCACAGAATAGCAGCACTGAAGTGTTGGATTACAAGCAGACGCAGAAATAACTTTCCAAGAGTCATTAAGACCAGCAAACTGATCACTGGTCCACAGTCCTCTAGAGTTTTGTATTTTATAGAGTTGGGACCATGACGTCTTAATAGGTAGTGAAAAATGTAATGGGTTTCTGTAAAAGCCCATCTATTGTCATATGCAGCAAAAAAGCTTCACAAACACAGTAGAAAGTTCAGTTTTGGCAGAGCGAGTCCAAACTCAAACATGTTAACTGAACAGAAATTAATTTAACACTCCCTATTCTGGTCTTAAGACCAAGACAAAATCATGATCATTCACGGCATATCTAGTCTCATTCCAGATGCATGAATAATAAAATACAGAATTAGGTCAACATACAAACCTGTGAAACTCAAAATCTGTGAAACTGCCAAGAGATAAAAAAAAGTCCAAAGAAATGTTGAAGCATTTTGAAAAACAATTGATCAGAAAATACTGTAAATAAGAACAAACTGTATCACTGTAACTCTGACTGTAAACCTGTGACTGAAGACCTCAAGCATAAATAGTCTACTCATAAAACCCCACCCAAAAATTATTTTGAGAACAAGTTAAAGGATGACCGCAAGACAGAAGCAGAAATTAAACTAAATGAACTTGAATACTTGAAAATAACTTGAATAATGGTTTCCCCTATAGATAACTAGAACATCTGAAGAGTTCAGATGCAAAGGCCTCTAAGTGCCATTTGAAATTTTCTTCTAAAATCATCATTTTTATCATGCTTATATATTTAAGTTCAGTAATTTCACTTAAATGACAATGAAGATTACCTATGAATTGCCATTTAAGTGAAATTACTGAACTTAAATATACAAGCTTGATAAAAACGATCATTCAGATGCAGTGTTGGGAGTAACGCATTACAAAAGTAATACATTACAGTAACATATTACTTTTTGCTGTAACGCAGTAGTGTAAGGCATTACTAATCAATTTTCAGTAATATTTTACTCGTTACATGTTCAGTGAGGCTTGTATTACAGTTGTATTACAGTGTAATGTCTGCTTTTACTTCTTAAAGGCAACAGACTATGTGAAAGTTTTAAAGCAGTCTTTTAGTGCCAGTTCAGAGCGGTCGCGTCTGAAACATTGTTTTTTTTACTCATAAACGAACACGAAAAACTAAAATAAAATGAATATTTTAAGTTCTATGGAGACTGGAGAGCCAACCCTTCCTCATCCGATTTGCGCAGTGTAATTAACAGAATTAAAAAATATATATTTTGCCTCCTATTTTTTGTCACGCATGAATGTGTGTCTTTTCCCTAATATTAAAAATAAAACATAGACTGATATTTGTCTAATGTCTGGAGTCCTTTAAGGAAGTAGCCTATGTACGTTTCAATACATGTATTTTCTGAGAATTTTTATTTCAAGTTTTGACTGCAAATATCATGTCCATAATGCTGGACTTCCCCAATTTTAAATAATTTATCCTCAACTAGTTTTGTGGAGTAGGTCTACGTATTTTATAATGTTAACTTCAAATAATACTAATAGCCTAATTTAAAGATAAGGCAGCATTGGATCTGGACGGTAAGGAGAATAACGCTGGAGTTGGAAGAGGTGTGTCTCGATTCTGTAGGTTCGTGGATCTGAGTCGTGTGGCGAATCACGATTTCGGTTTCATATTGCATATCGTTACAGCCCCCAAAGTTAAGTTCTACTTAGTTATTTTGGTGAAAGTAACTCAAATGTAATACATGAGTAATGTAACGCATTACAATTCTGAGACAGTAATATTGTAAGGTAATGAATTACTTTTAAATAACAGTAACAAGTAATACCTAATGTATTACAGTTTGGAAGTAACTTGCACAACACTGTTCAGATGAGACTGATGTTGTTTAGCACATTAATTCCTTCTTTGGTTCATAATTTGAGGCTTTCAAAGAAATGTAACATTATACAAAAACAACAAAAAAATTATTTAAAGTTTCTCTAAAAACATTTTCAAAGGGGTCCTTGGCCTAAAAAAGGTTCTGTTTTATGGCAAACACCAATTTGTGACCCTGGGTCAAACAATACACTGTATGGGTCAAAATAATCGATTTATCTTTTATGCCAAAAATCATTAGGATATTGGGTAAAGATCATGTTCCATGAAGATATTTTGTAAATTTCCAACTGTAAATATATGAAACATTTATTTTTGTGAGAGAATGCATTACAATAGCTCAAAATGCGTAGAGATAACACGCCATTTGACTCGAAAGTGGCGTGTATGTCTACGCAAAAGTCATGATGTCATGTTGCCATTTGGTTTGCCTGTCCTTGGGCTTGCCTCCAGGCCTACTGCCACCTCAAGTGTGAATTCACCTTCAGGGAGGCCGGAGAAGCCTACTATCTGATAGCAACTGGTAACTATGAGCCCTGAGTCCGGGTGATAGTTCCAAGGCGGCCTGCCAAGGCCATCCAGCCAGGGGACTCGCCTATCAGGAAAGCCTGGTTGGGCCTACTAGCTGTAGTAAGTCAATTCTGCCACAAGGGTACACTGTTGGGAACCATACTACCTAACGTTGCAGCCTTGGTTGGCAGATAAGCGGTTTACACAGCGCCTACAGAGCATCCTGATGCCTAATCACATTGCCCATGGCAGTGTACTCAGCAAGAGAGCTAGTTTATTTCACTATAGAGCCGCCATTCTTTGCCGTATGTGGGCAGAGGGAAATGAGGTTCTGTAGAGCTGGGACAGATCAAATTTTGCTAGGTGGATTGTGGTGGCGAAATACTATTGGGTAAATTGGCAATGTACCACAGACCAAAACAAAAACAGGAACACAAATTTCAAATAACTGTATGTATTATTGTTTTTCAGAGAAAAGAGTATGTGAACACAGCATGTTACTTAAATATCTGCAAATTTACTACAGTCAAAAACTTACATACAGCACCTTTAAATAACCACAACTGATAACACGCATGGCGTAAATATGTAAACTCATAAAGCATGTTAAAATTCATCCATGACTGATAATCTATAGCAGTGCAATAAAAAAGGATCATGACATTTTCTCTTGCAACAGACAGAGAGGCTCTGAAATTACAGGACTTCCTGTTCTTGCTGGGCTTCCTGTTGGGGTTTGTTTACAAGATCTCACGTCACCAGAAACTTCTCTCGCTGCTATCATGCATGCATGTGATAAGAAAAATGCAGTACCCTATAAAGCCTACTGTATCTTATGTGATATGCACATTTCTACAGCCTCTAAATTATTAACGTGATCAAAACTCTGCTGAAAAATCTGTTAAACACAGTGCCACTACATGCCTTGCTGGCTGGTTGGTTATATATTTTTAGCAAAGTACATTAAGATATAATTCTAAACTGTTAGATCTACTGGACTAAAGTAACTTAGGTTTTAGATTTTTTTCCTTCACTAAAAGTTGTTGTTGTTGTTTTTAGAAGTAGGCTATGTTAAAAAAATTATTTTTATTTTGTAATATAACTGTTTCATGTCTTTTCTTTTATACACTACACTTCCAAAAGTTGTACATATAAATATATACTTTAGTTCTTAAGTGGGTCAAAAAAGCACTCTGATGATATTTAAACTATAATACGTTCATTTATGTGTCCACAAACATTCAGTTTGCACTTACAGTTTTTCTCGATTGTTTACACACATTTTCTGAAAGTATGCCTCATATTCTCAGAACTCTACACACAAATCTAAAAACACTCACACAATTGGCAAAACCCCTCAATTCTCCTGCAAAATGAAACTTTACATTCAAAACAATGTTATTTCTTCTCAAAATGGTATTTTGTTTTCAAATGACACACAAACCATCATATGAATAGACATTTATAAGAACCAGTTGAACACTGATGTGCTCAATGGAAAACACTATGATCAATGGAAAACACTTCTTCTCCATTCATCATAATGATTTGGGCCTTTTTTGTTCAGTGTTACACTTACTACAGACATTACATACATAACTGTGTTGTAAAATATTTGAGAATATTGTTTTTTATACACAGACCACACAAATACACGGTAACAAATATATTTTATTTTTCCCACAAAATCAATGGGAGATAGATCCCACATTTTGTACACCCCAACCAACACAAAGTTGCACATACAGTGGTCTACATACAAAACAACAGAATTTCTTATGCTGTTACAGTAAAAAAAAAAAAAAAATCTATGTTGCATCCTCTCTTTGGTTTTGGTGTTTTATGCCAAAGCTCTGATTGCTAATTGTAAAACTGTGTGAAATGTGTTTGCCCGTGTGACGAGTCAGTGTGAATATTTGAATGGCAGTGTGTTCCTCATGAAAACAAGACATTTTCTGCTTGAAAATTGTGCCAAATGCAGAGAATTGTGTGTCGTGTTTTGAAAAAAAAGTGTGTTTTAGAACTGCAATTTGAGTGTAAAGCAGGAATTGTGCTTGTAGTTCAGTAGAATTGGCTCAGGGGGTTGGTGAATGAGTTACATGTTGTGGTCATTGTGTCTCAAGTACCAGCAAATGTGTGTAAACAATCGAGAAAAACTGTAAGTATATGTTTTTAAATTAAATTATTTCCATAAGAAGTACTCTTTTTACACAAGGGTTGTGTGCTATCAAAAAAAAAAAAATGTGTGGAATGTTGTTACAGTAGGAGTATCTGTTAGTACGATAAAGGGATTAACTCGGTGAATGGTCCATAAAAAATGTGCAAGGAATTGTTTAGGGCAGTATTCAATGGTACATATTTGCACCTTATTTGGACCAGCATGTATAGCAGCATGTTTGTTAGTGTTCATCTAAAGCTCCTGCATATACATTGGCTGTGCAAAATGCTTTCTTCTCAGACTCAGAGGCACTTTTCACTCCATTTTAACTGCCTGTAAAACTTCAATAACTCAATGCATCATGTTGCCTTTGGGGGGGGGGGGGG